AAGATGTTAACAATCTAACAAATGAACTAAATCATGCAAAATTCAAGTCACTCTCTGGAAAACCTATAATAAACATTTATTTATTTTTTATTTAACATATTTCTCAAAATATAAAATTTAACAAATATCAAGACAACGTCCAACTCTTTGTATTGTAACGTCGGTTGTGTAACTTATTTCTTTAAGGTGAAAACTGTTGAAAACAACAAGACTGTTTGTCTTATTACACAAATTAATATCCAGCTCCACGTGTTTCTATTGATGTCATTTCCCCACTAGAAAAATGTGTGATGGAGGTCCATGGAAGGCAAATAAGATTAAATCAAATAAACAAAAGAGGATGCATTTAAAATTAATAAAAGGTATTTAAGCTACGTTTTGAACATCCAAAACATGTCCAACACTTGTTGGCTGCTTGTGCTCTTTAGGTCAGACGTGTGTCGGGAAGCTCCTCTGTTGTTTGAGACGCTGGGGGAACCGTCTGATGGGGGAGCGTGGCTCGACCTAACACCGGTCTCTGTTTAATGGCGGATGAAATAAAGAAAGTGGTGGTACTTTATTTACTTTGAGCAAGCGAACGTCATGCTCACAAGATAATTAATCCACCAGATAATTCAGAGGTGATCTGTTCGGTAAATTTTACTCCGGGAGCTGCGAGGCTTGTTTTCAAGCTTCAGACTGAACTGAAGCAGAGGCTGCTGACATCATTACGCTCTCGCGCGATGCTGCATTCAGGACAAGCATGGAAAACTCACCACTCTTATGCCAATACGGTCACAATGATGCATCTAGGTACCAAAATGGAATTGCATGAACATTCACGTGGTGGTTATGTAATACAGCGAATCGATAATAAAAAATCTGCATCGACAAATTTACATAATCGACGTCATCGATTATTTCAACTCATCGGTGCAGCCCTAGTGTTTATGATATATGGTTTTGGCTTTGCAAGTTAGAGTTTTAAATTGCACTTGTAGATGTAGCGACATAGCAATGAACCGTGTTCACTGAAAATGTTTTTATGAAGTGTTCCTCAGCCTTTGTGGTAATATATGTTACAGAATGTTGGTTTTCAATGCAGTGCTGCCTGAGGGATCGAAGTTTTGGGGCATTTAATGTAGTTTTTTGAAAATCCCTTAACTCCTTGCAATTGTATGTTGAGAAACGTTCTTGAAATGTTTGACCATGCTCATGCAGTTGTTCACAAAGTGGTGAACCTTGCCACACCGTTACTTGTAAATGAATTAGCCTTTTGGAGATGCTTCCTTTATACTAAGTCATGACACTCACCTGTGTCCAAAAAAGGAAAAAATTAAGTAGGTCCTCTGGACAGGTTCTTTAATTAAATGTTTCGTCTTTCCACCAAGAAACCGAGATATCAATATCGGATCGTGACACCCTTATTCAGGAGTTTTGTACAATAAACGGTCTCTATGTTGTCACTGGACAGTCATTGTAAGCATGGTATGTTGATAAGCCAGATCTTGTTCAACAAGTCAATTTTGCCTGTAGCTTAAGGCAATGGTGTCCTTTCCTGTTCTTCAAAAGCCCACTATATATTGCATATTTCAAATATTTCTCTGCTTTAATAAACCTGATAGGATGAGTAACGGGCTTCTGAAACACAGGAACTGAAGGGGCAATTTAGTCACTGAATCAAGTGTGATGGAGCAGAGGGGAAAATTCATATAGGYGGGAGTGTGGCCCTCAAACCAGGATTGGACATGACTAGCCTAATGTCTTCTAATTTTAGGCTTTTGAATATTTTTGAGATGTCATAGTGTTTGGAGAATCTGGTTCAGATCATGTACAGTGCCCTGAGACAACATATGTTGTGACTTGGTACTATATAAACTGAATTGAATTGAATCAGGTACAACAACTCTTCTAGTTCACCCTTATTTTAAAGTCATGTAGCTCTGGGGCAATGAAACATGCAGAAAGAGTTTTCCTCTTGAGCCTCTTAGATGTGCCAAAAAGGCTGAGCATAAAAAATGCTTCAGATTCATTGACACATTTGTCCATCCTCTCCCTTAAAGCCAGATTTTAAAAAAGTGTTCTCTGTGAAAAATATAATGGTCAGAAGTGGACGGTACAGCGGTTTGTACCAAAAATCGTTTTGTTTTGTTTTTTTGTTATGACAGAAATGTTCCAAATACCGGCATACCAGTTATAATAGCTTGAACACATTCAGAACATAAACTATTTCAGTGCTTTTCTGTGCAGCACTGCTGAACTCATGCAGGAATTAGCAGCACACAATACAAACTTGAGTCATGTGGAAGCAGCCTTCTCAATAACTGGACAAAAAACAAAACTCTCAATTTTGCCATCACTGACTGTAGAATACATCGCTTCAGTGTCATGCAAACAGACTTCATGCGTGAAGTAACTTTACCTGATATTGATCAAAACCCTCCTCATACACAACTGTACCTGCCTCCCCTCACTGCTAATGTGACATAAGACTAGAATGTCTGACTGTAATGTCTGACAGTAGACTGTGGAATGTCTACAATCAGCAAAGGAAGATAGGACATAGGAGGGAAAATGTGACAGAGTTACAGTAAAAGAAAAGTCAAATAGTTTGTGTTGCAGAAAGAGTAACTTCATCTGACCGCAGTTTTCTGATCAATAAAACAACGTTTATACATTTTAACATCAGTCAGAGCTGTGATGGGGGCAATACAGACCAAAAACACAATGATACAGATAATTGTTTAAAATGCTGTGATATAAAATTTTGATTATACTACTCTGCACTAATAATGGTACAATCAAGCTTAATAGGCAGAGCACTAGATTCTGTTAAAAGGGCAGGACACCCTCCTAGGATAATGGTAGGGGACACTAATGTAATATTTTCATGTTCTGGTATACATTGACTGCTATTAAATAGGCAATGTTTATGTTTTCCTTGTAAAAATATCAGCTTAAACAAAGTAAAAGGTCTGAATGTTACTGTATTTTGTCAGGCAAATTTAAATGAATTGTGGTTTGCATAATCTTAAGTATTAATATTAATGTATGTATTTGTGTGCAGGTCTCCTGGGATATGTAGCTTGGATCATTCTGACTAGAGCTTGTATGTCCAATACCAGGTGGGTATTTCCTTCTCTTTTGGGAAAATATTGGTTGCCTTTTCATTCTAGTAATACGATTTTTCTATGGGCTTTTAGGATTGGATGCAACAAGCATCGATTTCCAGTCCTGGTAGAGAATGGCTCATAGGTGGAATCCATTCTTTCATAGCCTTCCACCACTGTCATCGGATCCTGGGACTCTAAGGAGAACATCGGACTCAGATGGAACTCTGTCCCAACGTGCAGAGAACTTTATTGGACATCATGGTTTCTCAGGTACAGCAGCTTCACAAGAAGCTCCTGTATCACACACAAACTTCAACACTAACTACTACACAAATCCTCGTACCGAAGATTCAAGATCAGACTGTGTTTATGAAAGATACTGCCAAACACAATGGCAACCTGATGGAGAACAGCTAGAGAAGGACTACATGCAAAGATGTGGAAATAATTTCTCYAGTTTTGCCACAGATGAGTTGCCAACATCAGACTCTTTTCAATCATCTTTTACACCGGATTTACAAGGACTTAAGCAAAATTGTGAAATGTCATCCACATCCTGTCTCGCGGACTACTCCTCTATAAGCAGCTGCTCAGATATAGACGATGGTGAAGAAAGACCTTCTTGTAAATTTATTGGAAGTGACACATTTCCAAAGCAAAATGCTGAGATTGATTCAAAAGATAGCTCAGCAGATTATTTCTTTAATGACAATGAAAATTGTAATTTTCAGTCTGGTAATCTGTGTCCTAATGTGTCAGAAACAAATGCATTTTCACTGAAAACATATGCAGGACATRGTCAGTCTTCTACCTCTTGTATGATGACCACTACAGGGAGTGAGACTGTACTTAATGGGAATGATGRTGGTAGTTTTCAAGATCAGGAACCAAAAGAGGACGTGGAAAGAAATCTTAAAGACAGTTCATATCCTGACTTTTTAATGACTGGGAACTTGACTGAAATTGGAATTAATCAGTATCCTATGGACAAGGAAGAGGACTGTCAGATCAAATCACCTGGTTCAGCTTTGTTTGACAATAAGCAAATTCACACTGATGGAAAACTCTTCAAACAACTGGAGAATGAAAGTGAGGGATTTGGAAATCCAGACTTCACTGCCGATCAACATACAATTGTGAGTGAAAATGTGCAAAGCCAAATTCATGTTGGAGAAAGTTCAAAAGGACAATTGAGTTTATCGAACAGTGAAATTTCAGACGAGCTTAAAACCATTAATTCAAATTCTACTACATGTGAAAACGAACCAAACAAAATCGATCATCAGAGAAAAGAAATTCAGACGCAAGTGTCTCAGTCGGCAGATCCTGACCGTGAACTAAATGAATGTGCTTTGAGTAGCAGCGATCATGACGTTGAATCCAGCCTGCAGTTATCTGAAAAGCAGTCCTGTCAAAGTCCAGCTCAGGACGTTATTTGTGAAGTCCCCACTGAGATGGATGATGCTCAACTGACTGATAYTGCTGTTGCAAACTTTTCAGAAACCTGCTTGCACCCAAATAATGTCAACTCAGACATTAACATTGAAAAAGAAATGCAAAAAATTCAAGAGTTTCCAAGTACAGAAGGTACAACTAAAGGTTTTTCTCCAGATCTGGATTGTTGTGGCCCAAGAGACACTGGTTCTTTCATTGGTACCAATACCAAGGAAAAGAAAAATGTGGCCAGTTGTGACTTGTCTGATGTAGAGACAAACAGTTCAAGAACAGATGAAAATTTTCAAGGAGATGGATTAAGTTTAAAAAAGACAAATCTTTCCCCAGATCTGGACTGTGTTAGTCCCATTGTCACAAAAGACAGAATTTGTGAGAATACCATTAATGAAAATGGTCAAGATGCTGCTAGTCGTGCAGACTCTGCTTCAGATGAATGCTGCTCAAGCACAGATGTGCATTCTGGTATAGAAATGGAAATAATTCCCACAGAAAAGATGACCCCAAATCATCCTTCCCTTGATAACACCAGCGGAACTCTAACAAATGATATTGGTGATGTGAAGAATAAAAGTGGTAAAAGCAATYCTGAATCCTGCACAAAGCTAAATGCTTCTGGTACAAACTTAAATGCCTGTCTGGAAATGGAAAGTCCACCAGATGAGGAAACTCTGGAACTGAATTTATCTTCAAATCATGATCCCAGTGTCACCAGTGACAGTCAATATGCAAGCACTAAAGACCTCGTTAGTAATGCAGAATCGATCTTACTTCCAAACAGCTCAAACACAGATTTGAATCCCTGCCTTTCAAAGGAATGGGAAAGTCCCTCTGGAAGAACAAGTACTACCACCCACTCAGATCTGGAATGTAATACCCAAACTCTGACAAGTAGCGACAACAAGCAAAATGTTTCAGAAACAGAAGAATCCTGCTTACAGCCAAATGACCCGAATACAACCTTAAAACAATGTACAGAAATAGAATGGACACAGTCAGGAGACAATATAAATTCTACCTCCCTTCCCAATCAACAGCATTCACTACCTGAAAGTTATGCACCACATGAGTCAATAGGTCCTAGTGTAGAAATTGCTGATAATGCAAGAGAGTCATTGGAAAAGTTGAACTTCCCAACCCAGGAACAGTCAGCGCCTGGCTTGTTGTATGGTGAGCCACTGTCAGGAGAAGACTCTTCATGTAGTACTGACAAAACTGATCTTGCCTCAAGTCAGCATGAAGAAACTGTTATGAAAAGCCACAATGACAACATYGTAGACAGGCTGGAGAAAGCAGCACCTCAAATGATATCATCTCTGCAAATGAGAAAATTGCTGCACCCTGTTGTGATATTAACAAACTCAGAGTCATCAAATGGAAAAAGCCACTACTGTGCTTATTGTCAACACACATCCCATACTGTTGATGAGCTGATTGAGCATCACTGTTGTAGCCATCCAATGCCCAGTTTTCAACATTGCAAAAATTGTGATATTTATCTGACAAACAAACAAAACGAGCATGTTTGTGGTGTGGTCCAAAAAAGCCTCTTGCTCTTTTCTGAAGTCATTCYAGATAAGAAAAATAGAGATTACAACCGCTACAAGTGCAATAAGTGCAACCTCCTGTTTTCAAAAGTGTATGTTTATGTCAAGCATATGCGAGGTCACACTGGCAAAACACCATATAGGTGCAATGATTGTGGCGTGTATTTTGCACAGACTTGTTCCCTGCGGATGCACAAACGGATGCCTGGCAGATGCAAGGGTTCCAAACTACCAAAAAAAATACCTGATGCTGTATTTGGCAAAGCTGAAACATCACCTCAGCAAGATGTGGCACAGAAGAATTCATATGAAAGAATGAAAAACTGCTACGTCAGACTCATTGACATCTCCAACACGAATATGTGTCATTTGTGCGGTGCAATGTTTCCTTCTGTAAAGAAAGCCAAAAAGCACTACTTCAATGTACACAAGAGAAAGAAGCAAGTTGCTTCATCAAAGCAGTTGACCAAAAAAGTCCCYAAAAAGACTCCTCAAAAAGTGGCAAGTGGGATAGATGAAAACTACAAATGTCCCCTTTGCCCAAGGCTTTTCAAGTACTCTTACAACAGGGCTCGGCATTTGCGGGACTGTATCAGAAATGAAATAAGTTGTGGGAAGAAGAAAATTGGTGACAAATATGTCTGTCCATTGTGTACAACTACCTTCACATCAACATGTACCAGATATAGACACATTAAAATGATTTGCCTGCGGGAATGTCTTAACCGGCTCGCAAATGAAAAGAGGCTGAGGCTAGGAAGAAAGGGCACACCACAATCAAAGGACAACATGCAGAAAATACAATTGAAAGAAAGTGAGCCTGAAAGTCAAGCACTACCAGTTTTAACAGGCTCCGAGAGTGTTACAATGTACAAATGCAATCTCTGCCCGGCGGTTTTTCGTAATCCCTCTGGAAAGTATAGACATATGAAAAAGCATGAATTATTTAACCTCACTGGGAAAGTAATCAAGTATAAACATTCTGTTTCCTCACTGTCTAAACCAGTCTCTCCAAATGATGCAAAGACTGAAGAAAGCAGCAGTCAGTCAGAAACGGTTGAAGAAAATGTAAATCATGTTCTAAGCTGTCGCTTTTGTGAAAAAAGTTTCAACCTTTTGTTGGCACTAAAGAAACATGAGAGAAATCACAGAGGTGAAAGACCATATTGCTGTCAGGAATGTAAAAAGCGATTTAAGCAACGTGCTCATTTGATTTCTCACAAAATGATTCACCAGAAAAGGTACAAGTGCACAGCCTGCAAGAAAAATTTCCTAACTGTTGGAGAACTGCTACAGCACAGGAAAGCACTCCATAAAAGCGGAAAGCTTCAGTGTCCAGATTGTTCGTCAGAGTTTGATTATCCTGCTCATATGCTACGACATCTAAAGACCCACAAAAATAAAGACCTAAAAGCTCATCAGCCAGAAAAGGAAATGCCACCAAAGCAACAGCAGCCCTTGAAAACTGTTGAAAAGGCGAATGCACCAAAGCCGCAACAATGTTCRTTGTGCAAAGAAGTGTTTGATGATTCCAACATACTAAGAAAACACTGTCTGACACACATTTCAAAGTCTTCTTCAAACCAGTGTCCATTTTGCAAGAAACATTATCCTGATCGCCGCAATTTGCTGCGCCATATGGTCAGACACACTGGAGACAAACCATTTTCCTGCACTAAATGTGGAAAACGATTTTATAGAGCCATATATCTTGAAATGCACTCTCGGAATTGTTTGTCTCAACGTGGTCAAAATGACAAAACAAATCTACGTAAATATTTTACGTGTTCTAAATGTCCCAGGAGTTTTACTAGAAAAGACAGATTTCGAAGGCATCTTGATGGCCACAAGGCAAACCGTCTGTTTCCGTGTGAAATATGTGGTGAGTTCTATGGAAATACTAAAATGAGTCTTCACCAATCAATGTGTGGGGAGACCACAAAGCTTTCTACTGATGACAAATTGACTGGTGGGAAATCTGAACAAAGTTCAACAAAGATGAGCCAAAACATTCAAAACACAGTTTCAGAAACGAAACAGAACATCCAAAAAACACCTTCAGAAATTAACAAGAACATTCATAAAACGCCTCCACGTTCTACTGCATCCAAATTACTCTCCTATAAATGTCCATACTGTACACAGAGGTTCAAGTACGCATCATATTTCTTGAGACATCTTGTTTCACATACTGGCGTGCAACCTTATGCATGCACGCGCTGTGGCAAAAGATTCAAAAGTCAGACAATGCGTTTAAACCATGAAGAGTCTTGTAATGATAAGGTTGAGGATCAATCAAAACCCAAAAGTGATGGTGAAACAAAAATGGACACTCTTAGAGAAAAAATCCTGATGTCCCCAACAGAGAACGAACCAGAGTACAAGTGTAAGTTCTGCACAAAAATCTTTATGAAACCACAAAGCCTGAGACATCACATTTTGAAACACAATGAGGTGAAGCCTTATCGCTGTAAAGCCTGTGACAGCTGTTTTTCAAGGTACGATCATCTGAAAGTACACCAATCCCACTGCACTGGCAAAAAGACACGACTGGAGGTCAGAATCCCCAAAATAAGTCTAGAGGATGTTGGCAGAGGCTGGCAAACAAAGTTTAACCTCACTCCTCTTGATAAACAGGAGACATACAATTGTGAAGTCTGCTTGAAAAGCTTCTTAACACAGTCCAAACTTTCCAGACACATTACAATGTTCCATTCTGTAAAACCATTCAAGTGCACACACTGTGGCTCCGCTTTCTCTCATGAAAAGTCTCTTAAAGCACACCGGAAGTGGAAAAGGTGCAGACAGCCAACCAGTTCAACAAAGACCACACTGGCGAAAGATAGTAATCAACCAGCAGAAACTATTCCAAAACCACCTAATGAGACCAGAAATCGCATCCTACTGAGGATCCAGCCTTTTATGAATAAAAAATTCAAGTATGTATGTAGTTACTGCCCTCGCTCTTTTAAACACAGTGGTCAATTAAGTGTGCACGTTCGTTTACACACTGGGGAGAAGCCATATTCCTGTGAGTATTGTGAAGAGAAATTCATAAGGAAGGATTATTTGGACCGTCATTATCTGAAGTGCAAGAAGAAAAGTAAGCAAAACAAACTTCTTTGTGACAAATGTGGAGGCTTTATCAACAAGATTGAAGAACACAAACATGGTTGTCCTGTAAGACATATCTGTAAATACTGTGGAGAGAAGTTCCAAAAGGATTCTTTGATGAGCCATTTGTTAAAGTGCAACAAAGGACCTCAGAGTGGCAATGTTCTCTGTGACAGGTGTGGAGGATTTTTTCCACAGGACAAGCTTGAAGATCACAAAAAAGGTTGCACTTCAAAACCAGGCTCATCATCAGTTCAAAGTCCACCAAAAGGCTTTTCTTGTGCTTATTGTAGTTCAAGATTTTTGCTGTTTTCACAGCTCCAAGAGCACTTTTTAAGTACACACAAGGTTGAAACAATGAATCCACCGGAGTCGACTGCCCCCCTCCAACAGCTTTTGTCCGATATACCAAACATCAAAGAAGAGTCTGTTGATGAGGGTTTTGGAGAAAGRCTTGGTGACGATGATAATGTAATCTCTAAACCAGACACAGCTCCTAAGAGTGACGTATTTTCAGAGTTTGTTTGCTCTCAGTGCAATATGTGCTTTACCAATAAAGCTGGACTAACTGGTCATCAGCGTGTGCATTCCACAGAACCTCCACATAACTGTAAGACCTGCAACAAGGGCTTCTGGAATAAAACTCAACTTCGAAATCACAAAAGGAAATGTAGATCAAAAACAACCCAACAGCTGGAAGGTCCTGTGAAAGCAAAAATTGATTTTGCGCTTCATGACTCTGAGCTTGTGTTAAAAGACTCTGAAACAACAACCGACACTGAGGTTTTGCAAACAGACCTTCCTTGCAATGAAGAGTCAGAAAACGAATCCTCAAAAAGCTCCTCTGATAATCAGGTGCAGAGCAGCTCAAGTACGGAAAAGAAAACGGTGCAGTACCAATGTTCAGAATGTGATCAAACCTTTACTGACGGCTTGCTACTTATAAGCCACCTCGAAGACCATGGAAGGGAAGAACAAGAGAAAAAGCAAAATATATGTACAGTGTGTGGGAAGGTGTGCTCTAGTCAAGGAAATCTAGAAAAACACATGAGGATTCATGTAATTAACCAAAGATACTCTTGTGCCCACTGTTCCAAAGTGTTCCCCACCATGTTGGAGCTTGAAAAACACAAAACAAGTCATGATCCCAACAAGCCCTGTATTTGCAAACTGTGTCAACAACGTTTCTGGACAAGGCCAGAAATGTGTGACCATTACAGAACAGAACATGCAGATGACGTGTTCCACTGTCAGCTCTGCAGCAAAGTCTATCCCATCAAGAAATCACTGACTTATCATTATAAAAAATGGCACGCGAAAGATTGGAAAGAYCTTCAAAGTGCAAAGTTGGAAAAGGGCAACAGTGAACAGCAATCTAGCAGTCATGTAAGTACAAATAGTACAAATGATGACAGTGATGAGGATGAAAATGACGACAGTGACAGCGACTCTGACTCTGCACCATATTTCCCGTGCCACGTGTGCGGAAAGACTTTTCCAACATCAGAGAGTCTTGAGGATCACCAGCTGTGTCACCTGGGCGAAAAACCGCATGAATGTGCAGAGTGCGGCAAATGTTTCTTCCAATCATCTCAACTGCAGCAGCACCAACGAATGCACAAGTCTGAATTTCAGTGTCAAACGTGTGGCAGAGGGTTTGTTTCTCTTTTTGCGCTGCGAACTCACAAGCATACTCATGGGAAGAGTCGCCAGTATCGTTGTTCCAAGTGTCACCTCTTTTTTACCGGACCCACTCAGCTTGCAGAGCACATGTCTACCCACCGTGAAGAGAGCTTCCCTTGTGATATATGCAATAAGGTATTTCAGTCCAAGAGCAGTAGAGCCGAGCATCGGAAGAGCCATTCTGTGTCAGGTGATGAGCCATCGCCTCCAGATTCAAAAGGAAGGCATGAACAGTCTGACAGCCTTATTGGATACAATTCAGAGTTCCGGTATCGCTGTGGCATTTGTAGAGAGCGCTTCAGAGATCCAGAGGAGCTTTCAGAACATGGCTGCATGGAAGCCAAAGAGCGACCCTACACCTGCACAAGCTGCAATCAACATTTTCTCCATGCATCTCATCTGAAAAAGCACATGAACACCCATCAACCACCATGGACTGAAAGAGAGTATCCATGCAATCAGTGCAACAGTAGCTTTTCCTCCTCGCAACACTTCCTCAAACACCTCAAGAATCATGTCAATGCCCCAACAGGAATTAAAAGTGCCAGTCTCATATGTCCAGTTTGTCACCTGTGTTTTGCCAGTGCCACTGAACTCATTCATCATTTCCCAATGCATCCTGATAATGCACCTGATGGAGAAAATCTTCAACTTGATCCCTCTGAAAGTGAGCTTGAAAAACAGGAGCTTCTTCATCCAAGATCAGCTTCCGAGTATGAATGCACAAAGTGCGGAGGGACCTTTCTGGGGTGCGATGCTTTCCGTCATCACAGTTGTTCCCAAAATCTGCCGGCAATGATGGGGAACAAATATCCAACAGCTGTAAGTCCAACTCATCAGGCAGCAGGGGAGGAAGAGGAGGTTGATGTTACTGGAGAGGACTTGTACACTTGCAGTGAGTGCTCAATGCAGTTCTCCTCCAAAAGTAGCCTATTGGAGCATCAGAACACGCACCACTCGAATTGGAGGCAGTACCCTTGCGATCATTGTGGAAAAATATTTGCTAAGAGCTCGTATCTTAAAAAGCACAAGAACAGACATCTCTTGAAAGAGCTCCCCAACAATGCAGCTGAACTGGTTGAGAAGAAGTTCGAATGTGCTCAGTGTACTGAAGTATTTAAAACAGCCCAAGAGTTGTCTGTGCACATGCGGCTGCATGCGGAAGAACAAGCGGGAGAATACCGTTGCGACATGTGCTACAAGTCATTCAGCAAGCGATGTCTTCTGAGGCATCATCAAGAGAGCCATGTTGGGGAAGTTGTATATGAATGCACAGAATGTGACAAAGCCTTTGCTTTTCCTCACCTCCTGGAGGAACATCAACAGGCCCATGCAAGATCCTCTAAATAGTAGTAGTAGTACCAACATAGTTACCTTGCATACCCTTTGATAATTATGGTGTTTTGAAATGTCTTCATGCTTTTCACCTGTGTATGTTCACTTGTACTTAAAAATTTGGTCCTTTTTTGCCCTTGTGAGTTATTGAAAAAGCGTTTGGCTAATGTGATTTTGACCCGAGCATTTCAAAATAAATTTTAGTTGTGTACATTTTAGTTTTATTGTGGAGATTTGTGTACAACAAATTAGTCATATAGTTTCGGGACAGTGTTTGTAAATAGGTGTGTTAAAAAATGTTTAAAAAAATGGGAAACAATGTTTCATGTTATTGACTCAGATTTTTGAGTTTCAACATAATTTGAGATACTTTTGTTCAGTTCTGTTGATGAAAGTTAAAGTAGACAACCCTGGTAATTTTAAGCCTTTGAAATTTTCTATGGTTGGACTATTCCTGTATTATATATATATATATAATTTTGTAACTTTCAATTAATTTAGAGTAGCATCTTGTACAGACATTGAAAAATGCTCGAATGGAACTGTTATTTTCACCACCAGAGGATTTTCCCCTTGTTATTTCTTTCTTTCATTTTTTTCTTTTTTAAAAAAATAAGTTGATGCATTTATGGAGTAAATATCAACTTTAAATCCATTTTTGGTTTGTTTTCGTATTATTTTCTGCTGAGTTACCTTTTAGCACGTAATGTTGCACACCAGGTGAGATGTCCTGATGCATCTCAGTAATCCAGGTAAAAAATCAAAAAGAAAAAAAATGTATAGGTCTTCTGGACGGGTTCTTCTCTAATGAAAGGTTTCGTCTCTCCTCCAAGAGACTTCTTCAGTCTGAGAGTTTCAGGCAAAATTCAGGCTTTTAAGCTCTGCCTCCATGTGACCTGATACTCACATCACATGGCTATCGTTGACACCTAATTAACACTTATTGTTAACAGGTGGCTGCTTTGTTTCCCCGATGCATAACTGATCGCAGTCCTCCTGGCACTTAACAGCATATACAACATTGCTCTGTTTGTACCAGGTGAGATATAAACCTCTACAATGACATATTTTTTTATAAATATAACAAACTGACAAATGGTTGGTGTAATATTTTAAAATGAAAGAAAAGGTTTTTATTGCAGCAAGAAYAAAAACAAATGACAAAGCTGAAAATAAATATTTTTGGTGTTTATTCTCAAAAACCAGCTGGAAAAAAATGTAATAAAACCCAGTGGGTTAAATATTGACACAAGTCTGGCACAAAACACAAAAATATATAACTGCCCTGAAATGTATTAAAAATATGTATTCAACGTGATTATAGGCAATGTCTGCATTATTAAATTTAGCATGAGTAAAAGATGGACAATACAAAGTTATTGGTGACTGACCATTTTATGCTACTTAGTAGTCTGTTTTTTGTCTTAAATTTAGTAATCAAAAAAGAAAAATTGTATAGGTCTTCTGGACGGGTTCTTCTCTAATGAAACGTTTCGTCTCTCCTCCAAGAGACTTCTTCAGTCTGAGAGTTTCAGGCAAAATTCAGGATTTTAAGCCCTGCCTCCAGGTGACTGATACATCACATGGCTATCGTTTACACCTAATTAACACCTATTAACAGGGGGTGGCGTGATACTGGCAATAGCAGCACTGTAGGAGGGGGACAACTGAAAACGGAGGCATCCACCTCTGTTTAATGATGGACAGTCTTTCTTCACAAAAATGGCTTCTTTTACTCCTCTCTCAAACCAGCGTTCCTCTCTATCAAGAATGAGAACATCCTCATCTCTGAAAGAGTGACCGCTGGCCTGTAAATGAGTGAAAACTGCAGAGTTCTGGCCATTAGATGTAGCTCGTCTGTGTTGGGACATTCTTTTGAACAGTGGCTAAATTTAGTAATAACCTTGAAATAAATGGCAACCTTAAATATGATTCTTTTAGAACAAAAATTAAACCTAAATTCAGAAGCAGTGAATGGAAAAAAATATATATATATCCCTCCACCCCCAAAAAATATTGTTGCCTTATTGTGCCCCACATTTGGCAAAGCTATAAACTGAGATTGTATTAGTCTAATATTATAGTAAGATTGGCCTATTTTTAATGAAACCTTAAAAATAAAAATGAATGCAAGCCTACTTAGCATCACTGAATGAAGGGAGAAGAAGCAATATGAAAGATCCGCCCTTGCAATTAGAACCTGGTAAATCCTCTGTGGCCACAGACGCAAACCCCCTCGAGTTCTGAGAAGAGGTCCTCTGCTGGATCCTCCAGGCACTGGGTACGTAGTGCGCATGCGCACGCCAATTACCCGTCGCCTTCCGCAGCTGCGGTTGTCGGCTCCGTGCTGCTGTTTCTCCTGGCAAAGCATCCCCATTTGTTCACCACCGAAGCCTGGAAGAGTCTCGTCCCCATCCTCTGAGGGTTTAAGCTTCGCATGGACATAAAGGGGAACCGAGCCCGTCTTCTTCCCCCCTGGCTTTCTTTGTGGTTGTTCCTCGAGTGAAAAACCCACGCGCTTTTTGTGACTGGTGAGTACGTGTAGGATCTGAAACGAGACGTTTTATTTATTTTTCTTGCTGCCGCCTCTTCAGAGGTCATGGTTACGATGGGAGCTTAGCCGAATAACGCTAGTTATTCCGTTCTCCGGCCTGCACAAGAACGTGGTCGGCCACCTCCTGGTTAGCTTTATTAGCACACGGGATGTTWAGGATGACCCGTTTGACGAGGCTACATGCTAATGTGTAAACACAACATACTTGAGTAGGACTTGTAAACAGTGTAACCTCGTTATCAGTATGCATTATTTACGGAAACCAGATCACATTGATCGTTTTCGATTTAATCAGTAACAGCTTGCTAACATAGCTGCTTGTTTAGAAATCAAACTGACGTCTCCGAAGTCAATAAATTGACATTTTTGTTTTTAACCCAGTGCATTGCCTTCGGCTGGAAATTCATTAGGTTGTAGCTTCATTTTCCTCTTAAAAGATTACTTTGACTTGTTTTTTTTCCCCTGTAATTATAACTTTAAATTAACTGGAGTTTTTGGTGATCGATCTCATTTAAATCTATTTGCAAACAATGTATTTTTTTCAAGGAGATCTGTCCAAAATGATTTTTATCATCCCTTATATAA